TTTTTAAACAAGGAAACAGGAGGAAGAGAGGCATAAATCCTGGTTGGGGTAGGCCATTACGTCAAAGAGGACATAAACATTTTTAAATGGAATTCTTCTCGTGGTCTTTCGTATTTTAGTTTCTGGAGATCAAAACTTTCTCTCACTGACGCCAGTGACTTTAAAACTTTTTTTTTTTTCCCTTTAAATCCTTCAGCCTGGTTGAAGCTTGTCGTAGTGCCCAGAGCAAATCAACACTGACTTAATGGGCAGACCAAATTGGATGTTCAATTTCAAGGTGTAGCCAAACAAATCGAGTGCGTTTTCCATTCAGATGACTGCAGACCTATCGGGGCAGCCAATCCACTTCTAAAAATAAAACAAAACAAAACAGCGAAACACCTTAATTTCAACTTCGTGTAGCCCCTGACTTACCCAGAAACAGAACCGAAGGTCTTGGGTCTCGAGTTTCCTTAGTGCCTTTCATGGCCATGTTCCTTTTGTCTGAATTTGTTTGGAGATGAACAGTGGAGCATTTCAATACATGGTTGAGGAAGAACACTCGGTTGTTGAGTGCGAGCTGGGAAGACAAGAGATTATTTCTCCTTTTCTAAACGGGAACAATCCCAAGGGAAGACGCTCTTACAAATAGTTATATGTAGCCATATATTCATTTATCTTCACAGATAAAGAAAGCCTCTCAGAAATTCAAAAGGCCATGTGGCTGACCCAGTGAGATTTGCAAACATTGAAATGAAGCTCAGGTCCTGACGGCTTCTCGAGTTTCACACACCACTTCTCTCAGCTGATTTCTCTCTCTGGCTCCTCATAGTTGCATCGCTTTAACGTAGGTAGTTTGCAGACAGATGCTCAGGGCACAAATTGCCCAGTCTGCACAAACGTTAATAACCAAAGCAGATTGGGGAAACCCAGCTGTAAACAGCGGAAACTCACCCGCATACATTCAAAGGCACTGCTCAAATGTAGGGTCCACCACAAATGCCATCTGCAAAGAGGGAGAATATTTTACAACTGTAACCAGCCCCTTGTTTCAAGTTGGTCACTGGCCTTAACGTTTGTGTGGGAAGCCATCAAAATACGCCGTGACTGATTCTCCTGGTGGAGAATGCTACCCCCTCAGAATGACCGACTCCCCGGAATAAACACGTGCATCGCATGTTAGCGACTTACACCTGACACAAGCAATTTGCCACCCCAAACTCAGCGACGTGATCCGAAACCAAACAGAATTCACTGCAATTCTACAGTGTGGTGGTGGATCATGGCAAAGGGTTCTTGAACATGGTTTTATTTTTAACGCATAGCCTCTTAACTCCCTGATTTCCGTCCCCAGTAAATGGTTAGCCACGCCCCTCGAGTCACAGTTAGATGAGCATGGAACAAGCACTCCATTAAAACCAGCAGAAGGGTCTAGAGAGATCTCTGCTTGAAAAAATCCCTGCTGAGCATGGCTTTAAAAAAAAACCTAGCCTCATTCTCATAAAGGTTTTTAAACCATCAAACTTGGACCGCGAAACCTTTCGACTGCCACTCTGTGAAAGTAAATACGGACGACCTTGTGGGCAGAAAGCTTTTCAATCTGCATAATGGCCATAGTATTCTCCCGGAGAGCTTCCTGCATTTTTAACCTCCCCCGTAAGTGAAAGTAAGAAATCAAATTTAGCACATTTCTTTGGTTAAGTTCACAAATTGTTTCCTGCCTACATTTTTCCCTCATAAAATAAAATATTCACCCATTGCAAATGCTGAAATTCAATCACCGTATTACTTGTACCGAAATGTCTCCTTCAGTGAGAGCAAGCAGGACATATTCTAAGAACGAAATCTTATAGAAGGTTTGACTAAAAGCCACTGAAAGTTTGCGTCGCCCTTATTTATCCCTTGAAAGTGTGATGCAAATGTTTAAATTCCTCTCTGGCAACAAGACAAACCTCTATAATCTCACGGAAAAAAAAGGGGGGGGGCCTTTTAATTTCAAATCCTTTAATTATAGTTTCAAATGTCACTGGCTTATGATTAACAAATAAAAGTTTGCCAACCCTCGATTCAAACTGACAGATGTAGCATATTCTCTTGATGACTCTGGCTGACTCAGAAGATATACAGTAATTGTGGCTGATTCATCCCAAGTAAGAGAGTGACAGGTCAATGTTCTCTGAACGTCACTGGAATGTCTAGACCTCGGCGAGCTTTGAGGGGGGCCAAGAAAAATGTCTGCATGCATTTTGTTCACTGTTCATTTTGTTGAAAAGTTCTTATAGAACCTTCAAACATTATCAGAGAAAAGAACAACTAAAATCTGTAAATTATAGGAAGGTATTGTGTAATACATTTAAGTATCATTGCGAGCAACTTTAGTACCTGGCCCCTAAACCTAGTCATAAAATCCCATGCCTTAGTTTGTCTTTTGCCCATCCCATCCTCATCCCCACCCTCAAATCATGAGAACTTGACCCCATCTCCTTTGGAGAAGGAGGGGTCTCAGGACAGGAGAGTAACTAATCGCCTGTTGCATTATATCCAAATTCGCATTTTTATTTACATCTAAATTTGCATTTAGATATGGCAGGTTTGGCGGTGTCTCCTTTTGAAGACTTATGAAGAGTTATGAACTTTTTAAACATGCACATTCGGTTAGCAGAAAGGATGCTTGTTTTAGAAAGTTCTGGATACATAATGAACGGTCACAGGGACCAGATTAAAAGGGTTTACGTTAGACGAGTCACAGTGTCTTGAAAACAGTAAACGTGGAGCAAAGTGAGTTTGTGACAAGCCATCAAAACTCAAAGAAATCCAGGAACAGAAAAAGTAAACTCGAGTCAACAAACAGATACAGGGGTCACTTCTTATCTGTGGGGGGACATGTCCCAAGTCCCCCAGTCGCTTCTTATCTGAGAGGGACATGTCCCAAGCCCCCCAGTGGAGGCCAGCAACCAGAGGCAGCACCAAACCCACCCAGACATACTGTTTTTTTTATACATACATACCTCTGATAAAGTTTAGTTTATAAATTAGGCACAATAAGAGATGAACAGCAATAACTAATAATAAAAGAGAATAATTATCACACTCACTCTCTCTCTCTCTCTCTCTCTGTCTCTCTCTCTCTCTCTGCCAGTGGAAGTGGATGGATTAACTGCTCTCACATGGTCAAGGCATGTGAGCCCTACCTGACAAAGGGCTCATTCATATCCTCGCTCTTAATTCTCTCGGTTTCTCGTTCTCCTGCTGGGCACCCGGCTCCCCCTGGCCCATGGCTCACCTGTCGAGAATTTCGAAATGTGCTTGTTAGACACAGCCTCCATTGAAATAGCAATCATGCCATCGTAAAATTAAAGACGCTGCTTAAGAAGGTGATGAACGTTTGAGACCCTTCACGGGCTGACGATGCGACGCTTTGCTGTCGTCTGCGCTCCCGAGTCTGCTACCTCTGCACGCGGGAAACGCTACATCGCCATGGACACCGCGTACGTTCCATTTCCTGTGTCCTCATGCTCACACAGGCTGCTGGCCGGGGTCCAGTCACCTCGCCATGGAAACCATGACATGCCACAAGAGTTGGTGCTCCCTGTCCCAGAGACCTGATCGTCAAATATTTTTCAGCATGATATCATGCTTTGTGTTTATGTCCCCAATGACAGAAATACACATTTCTTGCACTAATTAAAGTGTCCCACACGACTCTGAGCCCGTACACATGAATTAATTCTCACTGAGTCACTCTTGGTCAGCGGCTATGGATGCTCTTTGAAGAACTAATAATAATATTTTACAATTTGTGCCTTAACTCGTAGATTCGGTGACTTGTATCGGTATTTATCAACTTATGGTTCTTTATGTCCCACCCCCAGGCAGAATTTTTTTAGGCATCTTTTCCTAATTTTTCTTCTTCATGTTATTTTGATATCACAGGCATAGTCATCATCTGCTTATGTACTGCGTGTGTCTATATAGACACAGACACGTATATCTTTATACGTAGAAAGGGCAGGGATTTTTTACCCCTCAAGGACCAGGTTTTACCCCCTCGAAAGTAGCATCGCCCCTCTCGAGAATGCAAGTGTGTAGTATAGCGTTGCTACTTCCCTCTGCCATGTCCCACTGCGTGGCAGTTAAGCCCTATTGCATGAAATTCGTCTTCAGTATTTCACTGATGTATTTTGATGTTTCTGCTTCTGTGTATGAAAAAGAATCCTTTGATGTCCTGCTCATCGTTTTTCCAGCTACTGTGGTCTTGCGATTTATAAGAAATACATATTTAAATTTCAGCCACGCTTCCTGGCTCACAGCTCCCAAGACCCTTGGAATGTCCAGGATTCTCCTTGTGTAACAAAAGCCCCATAAATACCAAAAAGGACTCCGGTGAACCAGAACGCTTCCACGTGTCACCATGCCAAGCCTCAAACTCCACGAGGACAGAAGCCCCTTTGCTCCAGACCTTGCCCCGCGTATCTGGCTATTGATTTATCCCCTTTGATGATGTAGCTAGTTTTCTGTGTTCCATTGAGTCTCTCTAGTTGATTCATGCAACCAAAGGGGGGGATCGTGGGAACCTCTGAGATAGCCAGATGTTTAGAAACACCGCTGACAATCTGGACTTACCCTTGGACGTGGAGGGCAGTGTTGTGGGATTGAGCTCTTAAGCTGGAAAACCGGATGCTATCTCCAAGTAGGTCCTGTCCACATTGAGCGAAATTGTAGGACACCCAACTGATGTCTCAGAATTGCTTGGTGCTATGGGGGAAAACCTTACGTTGGAATGGGTGGCTAAAATCGCTCCTCCGTGAATCAGAATCATGTGTCACACGGTCTCCAAGCCTCTACGTTATGGAGAGCTTAAACATCGTCCACTTGTCAAAAATATTCAGGAAGATGATGTATGTGGGAAATGCTCTCCCAGTGTCTGATAAGCTTTCTGTCCAATTCCAGAGTTGTCTTCCAACGAGCATCCTTTCAGAATTGCGAGCACGCTGTTTTAGGACTGGGAGTTACTGGTGAGGCTATTCAAGAAAGAAGATGATTCTCAAAGACTCAAAGTCATGGACCCACATCACTCTGCTGTGGAGTGCCTAGAACTGGATAACGATCTTGTAAGAAAATACACACACACACACACGCACGCGCGCGCATACACACACACACACACACACACACACACACACACCCTCTCTGTGCCAGTGGGAGTGGATTAACTGCTTTCACATGGTCAAGGTCCTTTGACAGCAGATGGACTGGGGAATTTTTCTGAGTGAAGATTCAATGAAGACATTGAATGGAATGGAATCATACTCCCAAGACTCCCATGCCCTGCTCGGTGCTCGGCTGATGGGACAGAGGGCGGATGTGCTCATTATTCATTGATGTGATAACTGAAAAAAAAAAACAAAACTCTAAGGGGTCGTTTAGGGCTAAACAGTTCTCAGCCAGGCTGAGGGAAATCTGTTTCGCCTAGTGCAAGAATTGGGGACTTCGTTGTCACGTTCTGCCTCTCCCCTAATCTGATAGATACCTCTTGGCAGGCTTTCCGAACACACGATGTGCGTCTGAGTGTGGTTCGTTCACCTACGCTGTGTCCAAACGAGCTGTAGCAACCGCTCTGCAAATCGTGACGGACTTAGCCAGATACTGGTTTGACTCGGTCCGCGTTCTTTTACCTTTGTGTCTGCTGCAGATCATTTCCTGCCAGCCGTGTCCGTATCCATGCACGCATACATCGATGCATCAATCTGCGCTTAAGTCATATTGCCGATGTGCCGCCGACTAACGAAGCGCACGGACCTGGAGGCTGAGACATACATTGCCTGCCTCACGGCTTCCGTGCGGCTGGAGCGCAGCTTAGCTGAGTCCCCGCCCCAGGAAGAGCTCACCGGCTGCAGGACAGCTGATGGCCCAGGGGTGCGGTCTCATCAGAAAGCGCGCGTGGGGAAGAATCCACTCCTGACATCACACGGTTGCTGGTGGGGCTTGCCTTCTCACGGGCTGTTGGACTAAAGACCTCGGTTCTCCGCTGCCTGTTGTCCAAAAGCCACCCTAGGTTTCCGACGTGAACACATGGCTCGGGTTCATCAGTTCCCTATGTAATTGTGGACATGACTTCTGAGGACCATCCTTTCAGAATGGGGCTGTCTGTGCCAGGAAAGCATTACAGTATGACTACTATACCAAGGCCTCCTAGCAGAGATTACACCCCACACACGACAGATCCGTTGGCATCTCTAGCTGTCATCCTGCTGCTCTAAGACATGCAAAGCATTATTCGCGAGACTTTATTTGCAAAACAGCATTTCCCTGTCTTCTCAATGAATGACAGCAAAAACCTCGAAATGATTATTTCAGAATAGAATTTCCAAAATGAACCTGGCGTTCGAAGGATGACGAGAGCCACGGTCCTAATCATATTTGGTCAGGCCTAATTTTTTCAAACTAAAACCGTAAACCACGTCAGAGTCAGCAGAGATGCTCAGTTTCCGCACTCAGATGACTCTGATTAACATGTCTCCAGTATCAGCCTACAAAGCACACTGAGGCCACTTCACATTTTGTTCCCCCTTCTCTATATTTCTTTCTAAATATAGATTATCTGAAATATAAAGAATGAGAGTAGGAACAGAAGTAGTGTACTTATATACAAAATATATAACTCTCTATATTAGATACAATTACCAAATATAAATACCATGTAAATACATTAGTGAATTTATATATACGCCCACACGTATACCTCTTCTGTATTATCTAACTCCCAGTAACTGGGAGAGTGGAAGTTTTAGGCATATTTTTTTTCATAATTTTGAAGTCTGATATGTGTTGTTATTTGTCCAAAGGACACAGACATCGTGACAGATCTTCACAGAGTCTTGGGCTGTACCAGAAGGAAAGTAAGTGGCTGTGAAGTATCACTTAAAAATGCATTCTAACTATTTGGGGGCCACTTATTTGGAATTCAATATCCTTGGTTTTCATACAAAAGCAGTTGTTAATGGTTTTCTCGTCCCCAAATGCATGCAGTGAAATTCAAGAGCTTGAATACTCTTTAAAAATCAGGGCCATTTAAAAGTCATTTAGGCTCTTCGTGCCCAGGGATGAAATAATACACAGGGAGAGAATTTAAAATAATCAGATGAAAAGTCAGTACGGAGCGTATCTCTGTAGAGTGTGTGCATGTTACATAATTAACAGTGTTTTATGGGCTTAAAATAACAGAGTCCGAAGGACGAAGGCTTATGAGACTTGAAGAGTCTCGCCCACAAGGATTTCATAATTCTCATTTCTCAGGTGGGAAAATTTAATTAAGGGAATGTACCACCTTCTCATTAGAAAACACAAACTTTGAAATATTTCCTTAAAGCTTTATTAATCTTACAGAATCTTTACCTACAAAACCAATGGGGATAGGTAAGACCAACTCTGTGTGTATATAACTAAATTTCTATAGCTACACTAACATGTTAATACAAGGTATTTATATTAAACTACTCTGAGTTTAAGTGATTGACATTAATTTGAAATTCATGATGATTCATCTTGGACTGGTGTGAAGTTTATTTTCTACCATTGAAAGGATGAGTTTCATTTAGCGATTGTGGATATACAATAGGACAGAATGGAATTTGCTAAACCTTAAGAGAGTAAATATTTTTAAGGCCTCTAGCATATTTCTGTGAATCTATGTTGTTAATTATCTTATACGATAATCTAGTCATTAAATCCAATTTGGGAATACTACTACTTAAATATTTTGTAATAAATTGAGTATGTTAAATGCCCTAGTTACATATATTAGTTAAATATTAGTTCCATGCAATATATCTGTCTGTCTGTCTGAGAGGTGCCTGTCTATCTAATCTATCTATTATCTATCTATCTATCTATCTATCTATCTATCTATCATCTATCTATCTATCTATCTATCTATCTATCTATCTATCTATCTATCTATCTATCTATCTAATCTATCTCTATCTATCTATCTAATCTATCTATCTATCTATCTGTCTATCTATCTTTCTATCATCTATCTATCTATCTCTATCATCTATCTATAATTTAAAGATTATTTCTTATTCTTTTCTTTTTAAAATTTATTACAATTCGTGAACTCATCTCATATAATTGTGACCATCCCAAGCATTTACCATCAAAATTTTGCAGAGATTTTTCCAAGAATGTGTCTACGATGGTAAATGAAAGCAAAACGTAAATAATAAAAAAATAAACAGACACATGGACATAAAGTAGGACAGCTGCTCTGAGAAGAAAAACCACTGATTAAAAATATTTCAGAATTAGCTACTCGAGGGTATGTCTCATTTATCCATCCTCAGCATTTTAAAGAGTTCTTGGAATAAGCCACCGTTCTCGGATTTGTGTTTGTTAAATGAATGAATAAAAACAATGATGTTCAAACTTCTTGAGAACAAGCCTGGCTCAACCCGACCACCTCTGAATCGGTCACTTACATTTTCTCCTGTCCGTGGTCACGGTGTCAACTTCCTCATCAGGACACGTTCGGTCGAGATGTGTCCACTAGCCATCGGTTACGCAATGCAGCTGTGCTATCACCCTTACAACCTCTGTCAGCCATGCACACGGCTGACTTCTGCCCACTCCTTTTTGGATTGAAAGCCTGACCTCGACTTCCACCCCAGTCAACGTCGGTCGCCCCAAAGAGCTGCCCCTCCTTTTAAGCTAACACTGTCCCTTTTGGGACCGAAATATGAAAGACGATCTACATGGGGTTTGCTCTCAGATGGATCGATCCTACTCTACGCTTCCTATTGAGGTTGAAGGTCATTCTTCTAAAGGCTGGAAGACTGGGGACCGTTTTCATCTTATGACCCGTCGGCATCTCAAGCTACCGGGCCCGTTTGTTCTCCCATGCACGCTCCGCTGGTTCGGCATATGCCTCTCAGCCTTCCCATCTGGCACCATCGAGGCGACCTTCTAGTTCCTTCTGGTTTTAGTGCCCCAACCCATCTGCGACTAACGCCGACCATTTCCGCTCTTGTCACGATTTATGCCGCTGGTTTCTTGGTTTTCATTTTCACCGTTACCACCTCAGTTCGTGAACGTAGCAGAAGCTCACCAACTGTGCTTTCCTATTCCAGAAGGTCCTCGCTACAAGCCACCCTTCGAAACGCTTCAGAGTAAGGTCACGGAAGCTTCATCTGTGCCTCTGTCTCGTGCTAATGCCAGCCATGATTTCCATCAATGGATGTTCACGACCCTCCGTAATTTGGTTTGATGAAAGTCTAATTATTCCGCTCCATAAATGCTACGAACTTTGCATTACGATGTTCAGGGTTTAAGTTAAGGACTTCCTACAAAAACCTCACTTGAGCCGGCCCTGTAGGGACAGCTTCCTAGGACAAACTCAAGAGCTGCTAGATCTGAATTCTGGTGTTGAGTTCCAAAGGCACAGATGTTTTAACAAGCTAACTGGCTGGTTCTCGGATACCTTGAATGTTCACAACCTCTGCCTACTCTGAATCCACTTCACTCACCTGTGCTCCCCAATTCCCCATAAAACTTTGTGCACATGTGAAGGATTTTCTCACATTCTACAGGAAGCGTGCTATACCTCCCATACGCTTCCAAGATGGCATATGCCATACAGTACCTTGGATTTTAGTAACCGGAGAACCTGATTAATTACCTTACTAGTCGTTAAGCACCTTGCACATTATGCTTCTTCGGATCTCCAATGGCGTGTGCTAAGTAAGAAAACAGCGTATACGACCATAGCGCTAATAATGATTATTCTACTTCATGGTATTTGTGTTTCATTTTAAGCATCGTACGTGAGTTAGTGTTGGCAGGAGCCAAGCTGGTGTAAGCAATGTTGCGTTTAGGGTGGATCGGTTCATCCACACAGGGGACGAGGACATAATATCGGAATGTGCTTGATGGGGACAATAAGATTGGAATCATCAGAAAGAGCAATGGCTCACTGTCCACGATTTCTCAGCTTGCTCCCACCTCCGTTGTGCCAGACCCAGCTGGCGTATCGGCAGCCCTCTCTGGTACCCTATTGTTTTATCTCTTTTTGTGCCGTGTCTTCCTATCTCGCCGTCCTCTCGGATTTAAAACGAAAGCGTGAAGACTCCTCTCCTTTTCTCTTCCAAGAATCCCGGATTCAAAACTTTAAAACTCTTTTTCACTGTGTTATATAATCCGTTCTCTCACCGGTTAAGACACGGCGTGTTTGCTTCTCTGTCTTCCGACCCCGCCGGTCTCATGGGCTTCGAATTAGGGAAAATTATACATCCACTCTTTCTGAAAATAGTTACTCTGTCTGCTTCATTCTGTTTTTTTTTTTTTTTTTTTAAATCTCAGATCATTAAGACAGACGTGGACATGTGCTTGCCTGCCTTCTCCCTGGTGACATATCTTAGAGAAGGGTTCTGCCAGTCAACCCACCCACCCCCATCCTGACACACATTAAAGTTTGACTCACGCTCCGTCCAAACTCACGTGTCTGTGCTTCCCTGACGCATTCAGAAATGACCGCTTTCCCTCACACCCACCGATATTTTCTTCCCTCTCTCCCTCCCCCTCCCACCTCTTAATTAACGTCCATCCCTGCAACGGTCTCAGAAAATACACCCTTCGCTTTGGGTCTTGCCCTGCTTCCAACTCCTTCTCCATGTTGCCACCAGAGTGATGGCCCTAAAGTAAATTCGATGATCCCTCCTAGCCTGTGGTCTGCTGTCTCTTCTCTTTCGTCTGTGGCCTGATCACACAGAACCCTCTGTACTTCAGATGTGCACATACGGGCTGCAGCCGCCATGCCTCTACCTGGGCACTTCCCATGACTCTGTGCTCAGCTTCTGCTCTAGATCAATGCCTACTCCCCATCCCATCTGCGAAGGCCTCTCCTTGATCAGAGCCCTGTGAATTCCCACATCATAGGATTATTTCACATCTTCTTAGAACCACACAGTGTTTTCTTAGGTCATTAGCTCCTTTATCCATTAGACTTTATGCTTCTTCAAAAATAAACGGATGTTGTCTACTTTGTAAATACATTTTCCATGCTTAGGATTATGCCTATGTGCAAAATATACGTGACGAATTTATAAATCAATCAATCGATTAATACATGATGGCAAAGCCAATGCTTTTCTGGCTTGCTATAAATTATTGTGTTCAAATGGAGCTTCTTCTAAAGTCTACTTGGGGAAATAAATATGTCTATCTCCAGACCTATGATTTTGTATCTACATCAATCTACTTTACTGATTTGTGGGAGAAGCAATAGCTATTATCAATAATATGGTGTTACTGAATGTTAACTATCCAATAATAGAAAATATATAGTAAGCGAAATACATTTTTTACATAAGTAAATATTTCTTCTATTACCGGATATATATTTGTGTGTGTGTATATATATATTTTTTTGAGTGTGTGTATTTATATATATATATATATACACACACACATATATATATATGTGTGTGTATATGTATATATATACATTTGCACACTTCTTTTTGTTGAAGAGTGTTTGTACATATTATCTCATTTAATCATCCCAAGAAACCCACATGAGACTATTATATTATCGTCACTGTTGAATAGTTCTATTCCCTACAATTCACAAAATGTCACAGAGTTTCCAACATGTCAAAAGTAGCAAGGGGAGACACTTGGTATGAATCCAGGTCCCTGACTCAGTGTCCATCAGCTTCCCCAATATTGGCCGTGTTCCCCAAGACTTCTTCTCTTAACACTAGTGAGAAATCCCTAAGGATGTTGTCACAGCAAATAATGGCAGGTTGGGTGCCTACGTCTGCTTCCTAAATACACAAGCAATTGTCAGGATGTCCTATGGGGAGGGGACCTGACTCTTTTCCTTCTATAAATACATTCACAGGCCTGTGAAACAACTTTGAGAAAAGCAAACATTAATTTAGAGCTTCTTGCCTGACGAGTCCTGTATTGTTAACTCAGCTCATACCACAAGGATCTTAATGAAGTGCTTACTTTTATGCGCTCCCTCTCCCAGGTGTAGAAATTGAGACAAAGCGTTTAAGCACACGCCTAAGGTCAAAGGCAACTCGAATCCAAGCAACCTAGTTTGACAGCTGGTGCTCATGTCGCCAAAACGCTCCACCGCGTGCCCTCCTTTATGAACCACGGGCTTCAGACACTGCCCATTTAAGCGGAGTCTCTCTAACCCCATGACAAACAGCCGGTCACATTACCGAACTTGATGTTGGCTGAGAAAGAGCCACTCTTGCACTTCCAACGCCAAAAAGGGTATTTAAAGATAACGGGCCAGTCCCAAGAAAATCGCCAATATTTCCTTGATCAAAACCATGGCTGTGTAAGAACAGAAACAATCGAAATGCACCAAACCATCACTTGGCCGTGAGAGGTTCTTGTCCTTTAAAGATCTTTATACTAATTATGCTCCCCCCCCCACCCCGCCCCCGAATAGATATC